GTTTTATTTTTAATGTTTTGAGGAAACTCCATATTGTTTTCCGTAGTGGCTGCAACAACTTATATTCCCACCAATAGTTCCCTTTTCTTCACATCCTTCCCAACACTTCTTATGTCTTGTCTTTTTGATTATAGCCATTCTAACAGGTGTGAGGTGATATCTCATCTTAGTTTTTATTTGCATTTCCCTGATGAATAATGATGTTGAACATCTTTTCCTGTGTCTGTTTTGGCCATCTGCCTGTCTTCTTTGGAAAAATGTCTATTCACATCTTCTGCCCATTTAAAAATCTGATTGTTTTTTACTGTTGAGTTATATAGTTCTTTATATATTTTGGATATTAAACCCTTATCAGATATATGATTTGCAAATATTTCTCCCCTTTAGTAGGTTGCCTTTTTATTTTGTTGATGGTTTCCTTTGCTGTGCAGAAGCTTTTTAGTTTGATATAGTCCCTCTTGTTGATTTTGCTTTACTTGCTTTTACTTTTGGTGTCAGATTAAAAAATCATCACCAAGACCTATGTCAAGGAGCTTACCAGTCAGACAGAGAAAAACAAATATCCTATGATATCACTTATATGTGGAATCTAAAAAAAACTGTTACAAATGAGCCTATTTACAAAACAGAAATAGAGTCACAGATGTAGAAAACAAACGGTTACTAGGGGGCAAAAGTGGGGGGGAGATAAATTGGGAGATTGGGATTGACATATACACACTACCATATATAAAATAGATAACTAATAAGGACCTGCTGTATAGCACAGGGAACTCTTCTCGATACACGGTAGTATATGCATATGTATATGTATAACTTATTCACTTTGCTGTACAGCAGAAACTAACACAACATTGTAAATCAACTATAGTCCAATAAAAGTTAATTAAAAAAAAGGAGCTTACCACTTATGTTTCTTCTAGTTTTATGGTTTCAGGCCTCCCTTTCAAGTCTAACCCTTCTTTTTATTTTATTTTATTTATTTATTTATTTTTATTTTTAAATTTTTTTGTGGTACGCGGGCCTCTCACTGTTGTGGCCTCTCCCGTTGCAGAGCACAGGCTCCAGACGTGCAGGCCCAGTGGCCATGGCTCACGGGCCTAGCTGCTCCGCAGCGTGTGGGATCTTCCCAGACCAGGGCTTGAACCCATGTCCCCTGCATCGGCAGGCGGACTCTCAACCACTGCGCCACCAGGGAAACCCCAAGTCTAACCCTTCTTGAGTTAATTTTTGTGTACGGTATAAGTTAGTGGTCCAGTTTCATTCTTTTGCATGTGGCTGTCCAGTTTTCCCACCACTATTTATCAAAGAGACAATCTTTCCCCATTATATATTCTTGGCTCCTTTGTTATAGTTAATTGACCATGTATGTGTGGGTTTATTTCTGGGCTCTCTACTTTGTTTTATTGATCTATGTCTGTATTTATGCTAATACCATACTGTTTTAATTACTATGGTTTTGTAATAGAGTTTGAAATCAGGGAGCGTAATGCTTCCAGCTTTGTTCTTCTTAGGATTGCTTTGACTATTCAGGGTCCTTTGTGGTGTCATACAAATATTAGGAATACTTGTCTATTTCTGTGAAAAATGCCATTGGAATTTTGATAGGGATTGCGCTGAATCTGTAGATTGCTTTGAGTAGTATTTAACAATATTAGTTCTTCCAATCCATGGGCATGGAATATCTTTCCATTTATTTGTGTGATCTTCAATTTCTTTCTTTAATATCTTATAGATTTCAGTGTACAGGTCTTTCACCTCCTTGGTTAAATTTATTCCTAGGTATTGTATGCTTTTTGATGCAAATGTAAATGGGATTCTTTTCTTAATTTCTCTTTCTGATAGTTTGTTGTTGGCATAGAGAGATACAACTGATTTTTGTATATTGATTTTTTTCTTATCCTGCAACACTACTGAATTTGTTTATTGGTACTAACATTTTTGATGGCATCTAGATATAGTATTATGTCATCTGCAAAGAGTGACAGTTTTACTTCTTCCCTTCCAATTTGGATGTATTTTCTTTTCTTTTCTTACTTAATTGCTCTGGCTAGCACTTCCAATACTATGTTAAATAACAGTAGCAAGAGTAAACATCCTGTCTTATTCCTGAGCTTAGAGGAAAAGCTTTCAGCTTTTCACCATTAGTATGATGTTAGCTGTGGGTCTGTCATAAATGGCCTTTATTATGTTGAGGTACATTCCCTCTATACCTGCTTTGTTGAGAGTTTTTATCATAAATGGATGTTGTACTTTGTCAAATGCTTTTTCTGCATCTATTGAGATGATCATATAATTTTTATTCTTCATTTTATTAATGTGATGTATCACATTGACTGATTTGCAGATTTTCAATCAGCCCTGCATTCCTGGAATAAATCCTACTTGATCATGGTAAAGGATCCTTTTAATGTATTACTGAATTTTGCTAATATTTTGTTGAGGATTTTTGCACCTATGTTCATCAGGGATATTGGCCTGTAATTTTCTTTTCATGTGGCATCCTTGTCTGGTTTTGGCATCAGAGTAATGCTGGACTCATAAAATGAATTTGGAAGAGTTCCCTCCTCTTCAATATTTTGGAAGGGTTTGAGAAGGTTTGGTATTAATTCTTCTTTGAATGTTAGGTAGAATTCACCAGTGAAGCTCTCTGGTCCTGGACTTTTGTTTATTAGGAGGTTTTTGATTACCAATTCACCCTCCTTACTAATAATTGCTTGGTTCAGATTTTCTATTTCTTCCTGATTCAGTCTTAATAGGTTGTATGTTTCTAGGAATTTATCCATTTCTTCTAGGTTGTCCAATTTGTTGACATATAATTGTAGTTGTCTCAAGATTCTTTGTATTTCTGTGGTATCAGTTGTAACATCTCCTCTTTCATTTCTGATTTTATTTGAGTCCTCTTTCTTTTTTTCTTGGTGAATCTAGCTAAAGGTGTTATGGGTTCTTAAACAGTTACCATTAAATTTAATCATGTTTTATAGTATGTTATAAATGTATTTAAAGGAATTGTCAGACATGTCTTCTATTAGAGGGGGAAAAAAACTTTTAACATTCAAAACTTGTAAGATTACTTAAATCCTTCAGATGAAAAAATATGCCATTGTTGCATTATTGTCCCCTTGATACTCTGATAGATCTGACAAGTAAGAGAGGAGGCAACCTGTTAACAGAACTAGCAGTCAGGAATTCTGGTTTCTAGTTTTGACTGTGCCACTCACTCAAAGCCTCATTGTGAACAAGTTCAACTTCTTTGGACTTCAGTTTCCTAAACTGTAAAATGAGAGGACTGGGTAGTGTCTCAGAGGACGCTTACAGCCAAAATAATTTACGACACAGGGAATTTGGTCAGGCCTGGATTAAACTTTTATTACAATAAAGAATGAATTCATAAAGCTGAAACATTTAATAACTGGGAGAGAGAGCTAGCCATCTTTGCAACCAGATTGGATACAATGTGTTTCCTGTCCTTTCCACAAGTAGCAATGGGAAGAGGGGGAGGGGGGAGCACAGGGACAGGATGTCCTTCCCTGACATGTCACTCACCAGCTTATATCTTTACATATTTTCATGGCCATAAGGTCTGATATCCCAGAATTCCATACCACAAAAGAATTACAAAATGACTTGCTATGGGGACAAAATAAGTGCTTACTTTCATTTGTTAAATTTTTTTCAGGTGCCTTCCTTTCATTATCGCTGTAGTGTGAATTTATAGTGACATAACTTCAAAGACTTGGGAGAAGGATAACATTCAGAGAGAAAGACTAGAAAGGAGTTCGGTGTGCTTTCGGTAGGCTAATACTATCGCCAGTTTGCAAATGAACCGTGGAAGAAACTGGGAACCCGACAAGTGAAAAGGGAGAAGTGCCTGGATACCTAAGATAGCTCTAGGGAGCAGAAAGAGACTTTTGTTTTTTCAGGTAGTTTAACTTTAAGGCACTGTGAAAATTGACTGTATATTTGCCAATCTCCCTTTGATGGCAGGAATAGTGTCATTTATCTTTATATCCCCAGTGACAGATAGCACTTAGAGTCAAATATTTGCTGAAATGACTATAAATTGCTCGGGAATAAGAAAAAATGAGATTGAAATAACAAAGCCTTGGCTATCCGAAACTTTTACAGGATTTACTGCAAGATTAACTACAAAGGGAAAAGGACTTCAGCGGAGTAGTGTTTCAGATGAAGTGTCAGCAAACCAGAATTTGGAATAAGCAGAAAGCTGCTATGTTGAGTCCAGGAGAGAGATGATCAGAGTTCCTTCTAAGTGAAAACTGATCAGGCAACAGGTTTGATTGAACCCTAAGTGTAAAAGAAAGGCAGGAGCGACAGCGATACGGAAATGTACAGAACTCAGGAGTGTCTAGGGTCAGAGAATCACCCAAGTCAGAGCAGAAGGGAGAGGTCTGAATGTGCTGGCTGGAGAACACCGGTTCAGGCGCCGGACTGGCGAAGCTCGCTTTGAGCTTGTTTCTTAGCAGAACTACCAGGAAGCCCTAAAAGATGTGCAGCTCGGGCTGGCATTGCAGCGCGATAACTTCCGTGTGTGTGTGTGTGTGCAACAGCGAGCGCCGCCCGAGAACTTCCGCGTGCGAGGGAGACTGCAGCACCACCCGCCAGCGCCCTGCCCCTAGAGTGAGGAAACCCGCGCTCCCCGCCGGGGGGCGGCCCCCTCCGCCGCGGGCATGGGCGGGACTGGGGCTGGGGCAGGGCCGCGGCCCCGCCCCAGCCGATCGCAACCCCACAGGCCGCCCGGGCCGCGCTCGCCGGCGCCACGCCCCGCGACTACATTTCCCAGCAAGACCCGGGAAACCCGCGCGCCGCAGTTGACCCATTTCCCGGCCCGTCCCGGGCTCGGTCGGCCCCCGCGCCCAGGCGGCTGCTCCCTGCTGACTGGGGTGTGGGCGGGGAGCGGCGGAGGCAGGAGGAGGCGCTGCTGGCCGCTGCAGTTGCCTCCGCTGCTGGGCGCCTGGGCAGCTCCCCCGGTTCCCGCGGCCGCCATGGACGAGCAAGCGGGTCCCGGCGTCTTCTTCAGCAACAGCCACCCGGGCGCCGGCGGTGCCAAGGGTCTCGGGCCTCTGGCGGAGGCTGCCGCGGCCGGCGACGGGGCGGCTGCGGCGGGGACGGCCCGAGCCCAGTACAGTCTCCCGGGGATCCTGCACTTCCTGCAGCACGAGTGGGCCCGCTTCGAGGTCGAGAGAGCCCAGTGGGAAGTGGAGCGGGCGGAGCTGCAGGTAAAGACCCTCCCGGCCTGGCCCTCTTCATCCCGCCTCTTCGCTCCCTTCCGCCCCGCCCCGGACCCTTCCCCCTCCCCCGCTCAGCCCTCGCTCGTCCCCTCCCCCTTTGCTCCCGCCCATCCCACCCAGAACCTTGTCCCTTTCCTCCCTTCACCTTTGCCTTTCGCCGACCCCACTTCCTCGACCCAGGTTCCCAGTCCCGCCCGTGATGCGTTGTTTACCCTCCCCGCACCTTTTCATCTGCTCCTTCCCACTCTTAACTCTCAGGCTCATTTCAGCGCTCTTGCCATTCCACATCTTAGGTCTTCCCTTTCAGTTTACTAATTGGGCTGACAGTAGTTTTGCGAGGTGAGCAAATCATGTCCTGTCCTAGTGAGTCCCATCCTAGGTCTAGAGACGGTCCCCGTAAAAGGTATTGACAGTTGGCGCCTGTCTGTAAGGAAGGTGATCAAAGAAGACCAGAAGTTGTGTCCGTGGGGCCTTGACTTTAGGCAAGAAGCTGCTCTTGGGCCAAAGTGTTACTAGGAATGTCGGCTCCCTTTTATATATGTAAATGTTTCTTCTCTTCCTTCTCCCTCACCCCCTCCCGCGTTTCTTTTAGCTGTTTCAGATTCGTGGATTTTGAATGAAGGACCTATATGATCACAGTCAGATGATGGTTCAGGGATGGTTTTCAGTTCTCAGAACCTGAAACTTCCTAAGGGTTAATTTTCTGTTCAAGGTTTTGTGAGACTGACTTGTAATTTAAAAGGAACTAAAAGGGGCTTTAAAGTTGATTACATTTCCTTTCATAATCAGCAAGGTAAAGTATTGGGTTGGCTGGAAGGTTCGTTCAGTTAATGAATGCGTTGTTCAGTAAAGCTCTTAGTGAAAATGAAAAATGTGTCTCTTATTTTTACTGAAAACCGAACGAACTTTTTGGCCAGCCCAGCATATCCAGGGAGGAAGCTATTGTGGGCTCTTAGAAGAATGAAAGTGAGGCTGATATTTTGCAGGCCATTCTGAATTGGTAAGTAGGTTTCAGTGGTGGTTCTTAAAACTTCCAAGGCACTTCCAAGGCATACACCAATTTCACAAAGAACTTAAAGAACTCTGAGTGGCTGTGCCTTTCTGTTTTACTGGCTAATCCTGTATGCTTATGAAATCTGAGTGTAGTTTTGGTTGGTGAAACACTTGAAGTTAAAATGCTACCCACGGTGTCACCGTTTTGGGTAGCATGTATTTTCTTTGGCACTTAAAAAAAAGAAAAGGAGAAATAGAATCATGTGCTGGAACGGGCTGCTTTGGTGGAGTGGAAGTGGTTGTGGAAGGAGCAAGCAGAAAGGGTTATAATACAAGCTGTGGTTGCTGCCAGCTCTGTGACCTTGAGGAAATCCTTTAACCTCTTTGAACTTCACTTCCATCATTTATTCAGCATATTTATTGAGTGCTTATACTGTGCCTCTAGGCCCTGGGATTACAGAATTGACAAAGCCTCTGCCCTCATAGAGCTTATGTTTTAGTCGGGAGGCAAACAGTCAGCAAATGCAACTATATAGTATACTGATCCACACTGCAGCTGCTATGGGAAAAATAAATCAGGGTACAAGTGTAGAGTGTGATAGGGGCAGCCGTTTTAGATGGAGTGGTCATGGAAAAATTTGTAATTTTTCTCATAATGAACTAGCAATGCATTCCATAAGTGATCTTGTGGATTTCAGACTTAAGGGAGGTATTAAAGGCAGGCTTTAACTTTAATGTTGTACAGTTGTGGATAATGATTTTTGTATGCAGCTGCTTAAATTTTAATTTCTTATCCAGTTTAGGGAATGTAAGATAAATCACACTACTTTGTTCAAAAACAAACAACAATTCTTACCTCATTACCTGGGAAATTAGAGAATTTCCAACCTATCTCAAGTCCTTTCCCCCCAACCTCCATATTTAACTTTTCAATTTACCTGTAACTGTAGTTACTGTTTAGTTATGCCCCCTCTACGCCTTCCCCCAATGTATACACACATACACATACTACTTACCGGGTTATTTATCACAAATCTTAAACTTCTGGTAGGTTTCCCATTGGTGCTCATCATATTAAGGGCGCTACATTTTTACAGTATCTTTTGGTTTGTGCTCCAGTTAAATTAAGCATCCATGGAGAAACTTAGAAAATGTGCCATAGTTTTTAAACAGAACAAGTATGTATTTTGGAAGGAGAGAGTTCACAGGAATCTGTGGTCTTTGACCCTTTTATTAGCATAATTGAAAATATATTTTAAAAATCATTTCTTTACATCAACATCATTAAATTTGACCATGTCCTTTGTTTTTCTTTTCCCATTGGAATTTTTCTAGAAAAACAGTAAGAAATAAGAATTGAGTGAATGAAATTTGGATCAGTTGGTATCCTCCTTTTATTTTTAAATCTCTGCTTAAGTCATTAACACTAGAGTCAACAAAAATACCTTTAAGATTAGGTCTAATTTGTCCCTTCAGGAACCTGTCAGTCCTGCTCTTTCAAGTTGCCAGGGCAGAGTTGTGAAAGGCAGTCCAAGCTCTCATCTCCCTGGCCTGCCGGCACCACTTCCTCCTTCCTTCAGATCTTGGGAGTAAGGAACTGGCCACATTGTGCCAAAAACTTATTGGTCATTTTTTACCCCCTTGCCCATCTAGGTTAATATAAAATTCTCTTTTTACTTTTGGCAATCCCCCTCCTGCCTCACCACCACCATTCATATGAGAATAGGTAATTCATGGGAAAAGAATGGTTAAGGTTATTATTGAGCTTTATATTTGTGAAAGGAATTGGAGATAGAATACAAATCATAACATTTGAGAGAATTTTCTGTGTATGAGACATTGTGCTAGATGATTTCAAAGAAACAGTCTAATTGGAGTGATAGAACAAACAAGATGCAGTAGAATCAGAGTTTATCATTTGGGAGGTTTAAATTTTCTTAGGCGAGCGTAAGAGAGGAGGGCTAGTAGTGAATGGGGAGATTAGCAGGAAGAAAGAATTTATGAAGTAATGAGAACCTAAGGCTCAGTATTTGAAAATTACTGACTTCTGGGAAAGAAGCATGTAAGTAAAAAATAGAAGGTATTGTTCCTAGATTTAGAAGTTTGTGTGTGGTAGGGGAGGCGCTGCTGTCTACCTGGAAATGCTGAATTGCATGAAAAAAGGTGATATGATTGAGTATTAGGGCATATGGTATGGAGGCTGTACTGGAATGTTTATGAGTCTGGGTTTTGGCATTATTGGTTCATATTTTCATTCAACAAATGTTTTCAAGTACCCACTTCATACCAAGTCCTGTTCTAAGGCACTGGAGAAACGATAACGATTAAAACAGATCCTACCTGCATGAAGCTTAAATCATGAGAGAAGACGGGTAGCAATAAATGAATACATTCATCAAACGTTGGGTGGTAATAAGTGCCATGATAAGGTAGGGTAAGGAGGATATGGAGCGCTTGAGAGGGTGGAGTGGGGAAGAAAGGCTTTACTATTGATAAGGTGCTATTTAAACAAAGACCTGAAAAGGTGACATCTGAGGAAAGAGCGTTCTAGGCAGAGGGAAGAGTAGGGGGAAGGGGAAACATGCTCGGAATGTTTGCAGAGTATTTAGGCAAGTGTGGCTGGAGTAGAGGAGGAGAATGGAAGAAATGATGTCAGAGATACTAGGTCTAGCTCATTGTAAGGACTTTATTTTTACCTCAGCAAGATGGGCAACTGTTGAAATGTTTTGAGCAAAAGAGTGACACCATCTTTAAATGCAACCCTTTGCAAGGATCCAGAATAGACTTGGAGGGGAGAAAGGGGAGATAAATCAAAGTCTAGTTAGGAGGCTATTTTAATAATCCAAGCCAGAGGTGAACTAGGGTAATAGTGATGCGATAAGTGAATAATATTCACATGTGATACATACTCAAAATATAATGGATCCTGAATACATTTTTGGAGGTAGAACTAGCAAGATATGCCAAACGATAGGTTGTGAGATTTGAGAAAAAGGGAAGTCAATTATGACTCAATTATTTTTTTTTGCGGTATGCGGGCCTCTCACTGCTGTGGCCTCTCCCGTTGCAGAGCACAGGCTCCGGACGCGCAGGCCCAGCGGCTGTGGCTCAGGGGCCCAGCCGCTCCACGGCATGCGGGATCCTCCCAGACCGGGGCATGAACCCGTGTCCCCTGCATCAGCAGGCAGACTCTCAACCACTGCGCCACCAGGGAAGCCCTCAGTTATTTTATTAGTTATTTTGACTGAGCAGCTTCATAGGACTATTGTGAAGGTTTACTGAGCATTTATTTATTTTTTAAATTAAAAAATTTTTTTTATTGTTGGCTGCTTTTGGGTCGTTGTTGCTGCGTGCGGGCTTTTCTCTGGTTGCGATGAGCAGGGGCTACTCTTCGTTGTAGTGTGCAGGCTTCTCATTGCGATGGCTTCTCTTGTTGTGGAGCACGGGCTCTAGGCACGCAGGCTTCAGTAGTTATGTCTCGTGGGCCCTAGAGCGCAGGCTCAATAGTTGTGGCACACGGGCTTAGTTGTTCCACAGCATGTGGGATCTTCCGGGACCAGGGCTCGAACCCGTGTCTCTTGCATCAGCAGGCAGATTCTTAACCACTGTGCCACCAGGGAAGCCCTACTGAGCATTTAAATGGACAAAATAAGCACTTAAGATAACAGTTTATGTTTTGTTATTATTATAACTATTATTTACAATTACAGTGAAAGGCAACATGGCATAGACCTGGATTTAAATCTTTGCTTTAAAACTTACTATTTTATTTCATGCTAAAAATATAAGTTTACCGTAATTCTGACCTCTCAGGACCTTAGTGTCCTCATTTGTAAGGTGAGGCTGATAAACTACCTTGTGAGAATTAAATGAGATATTTTTAAATATCTAGCAGAGGTCTGGTACATAACACAAAGTAAGTGCCGAATGAATGAATGAATGAATAAATAAATAAATAAATAAATAAGTGCATGATGTTAAATTTGTACTCCAAT